TTTTTTAGTAGAGACAGGGTTTCACTGTGTTAGCCAGGATGGTCTCGATTTCCTGATCTCGTGATCCGCCCACCTCGGCCAACCAAAGTGCTGGGATTACAGGCGTGAGCCACTGCACCCGGCCCCTCCTTCCTCTCTTTCTCTTTTTCTTCTCTTTCTCTCCTTCCTTCTTTCTCACCCAGGCTGGAGTACAGTGGTGTGATCTCAGCTCACTGCACCCTCTGCCTCCTGGGCTCAAGTGATTCTCCTGCCTCAGCCTCCCAAGTAGCTGGGATTACAGGTGCACGCCACCACACCTGGCTAATTTTTGTATTTTTAGTAGAGGTATGGTTTCACCATGTTGGCCAGGTTGGTCTCGAACTCCTGACCTCAAGTAATCTGCCCACCTTGGCTTTCCAAAGTGCTGAGATTACAGGCTTGAGCCATTGTGCCCGGTTGACTCTGTACTTTTCTGACCTTGTGTTCCTTCTTTGTCAACTTTGGGACTTAGGTGGCTTCTTGATAGTCTAAGCCCCTGCCCTGCTCTCTGCCAGGGATTGTTCTGAGGGGACAGCAGGGAGCAAAACAGGCAGAGTCTTGCTCTCTGGGACTCTGCATTCTAGATACGGGAGACAGGCAGCCAACAAATGAACAGAAAATATGAACAAATACAAAGTGAGTTCATTTGCTTTACATATGTGCTTTTTAAAATAGGAGTTTGTCTTGGGATGCAACTAGCAGTGATAGAGTTTGCAAGAAACTGCCTTAACTTGAAAGGTAAGTTTGAGGTTTGCTAATGACCATTTACTTTAAAATTTTTCTCTCTTCAAATATTTTTCAGCATTATTGGTGAATTACTGAACTCTTTTCTTAATCTTCAGATGCTGATTCCACAGAATTTAGGCCAAATGCCTCAGTTCCTCTGGTAAGTGGCTTATTTATCTTTCTGGGTCCAGTCATTGTCACTTGGGTCCTGGCTCTTGCCTAAATTCATAAGGGGCTATTGGCTGGGCGCCGTGGCTCACGCCTGTAATGCCAGCACTTTGGGAGATCAAGGCAGGCGGATCACTTGAGGTTAGGAGTTCGAGACTAGCCTGGTCAACATGGTGAAAACCTGGTCTCTACTAAAAATGCAAAAATTAGCTGGATATGGTGGCAGATGCCTGTAATCTCAGCTACTCGGGAGGCTAAGGCAGGAGAATCGCTGGAACCGGGGAGGTGGAGGTTGCGGTGAGCTGAGATCGTGCCACTGCACTCCAGCCTGGGTGACAGAGTGAGACTCCCTCTCAAAAAAAAGGGGGGGTCTATTATTTTTTCTTTACAGCACCAGAACATTTTAAATTATATTATTCTTATATTAAATTCCTTTGTTCTTGATAGTCCATCTTCTCAGCTATGCTTTAAAGACAGTCATAATCCTGGACTGATTTCTCTTTGTCGCAGCTTTCAAGCTTAATGTTTAGGAAAGGATTAAATTGACTGTGACAACAATTTATAACATCTACTATAAATAAATGAGCTGTCCTGTCTCCAGACTCATCGCCAGTCTGCCTATTTTCCACACTGGTGGTCATCTGTCTTTCTAAAACAAAAGTGACAGTGATTCTGCTGCCAGTCCTCATCTTCCATCAGTTTCTTTTCCCTTAACATATTCAGTCCAGGATTCTGGGCTGGGTCCCAAAGCCATTGTGCTCTGTCACCTGCTGCTTTGCTGATTCATCCCATGGCATCCTGATTCCTCCCAGGCTTTGAGTTTTTTTCTGTTCTGTGTTTTTTTGAGGTAAGGTCTCACTCTGTCACACAGGCTGGAATGCAGTGGCATGATCGCAGCTCACTGAATCCTAGACCTCCTGGGGTCAAACAATCTTCCCACCTCATTTTTTGATTTTTTTTGTAGAGACAAGGTCTCACTATGTTGCCCAGGCTACATGCTTTGAGTTTTACGTTTGGACAGTCTGAACTAGTTTTCAGATGCAGTCTGAGGTTTCGCATACCTGAGATGTCCACCTGCCTAAAATCCCTTTCCCCCTGGAATCTCAATGAAACCAATGAAGAATTTAATTAACAACAACTCAGGCCGGGCGTGGTGGCTCACACCTGTAATCCCAGCACTTTGGGAGGCCGAGACGGGCGGATCACGAGGTCAGGAGATCGAGACCATCCTGGCTAACACGGTGAAACCCTTTCTCTACTACAAAAATACAAAAAACCTAGCCGGGCGAGGTGGCGGGTGCCTGTAATCCCAGCTACTTGGGAGGCTGAGGCAGGAGAATGGGAGGCGGAGCTTGCAGTGAGCGGAGATCCGGCCACTGCACTCCAGCCTGGGCGACAGAGCGAGACTCCGTCTCAAAAAAAAAACCAAACAAACAAACAAGAAAAAACTCAGTTACCAACAACTTCCTATTCACCTGAGGAAGGCTTTCCTGACCTCTTTTCTTTACCTGCCTCTGCCCTCTGCCCCATGCTACTGTGCTCACCACTAACAGAGCGAGCTTTGCAAGATGATGGTTGGCCTTCAGTCAGGCTGTTTGCCAGCCACCCATGCACACCCAATCGTGTGCCTGCTGCTGGGCACCTCCTTCTAATGGAGCTCGCGCCTCACAATCGTGATTTTTTTTTTTAAACAGCTTTATTGAGATATAATTCATATACCACAAAATTTAGCCATTTAAACTATATAATCCGGCCAGACATGGTGGCTCACGCCTGCAATCCCAGCACTTTGGGAGGCTGAGATGGGTCGATCACTTGAGGTGAGGTCAGGAGTTTGAGACTAGACTGGCCAACAAGTTAAAGCACCATCTCTACTAAAAATACAAAAAATTAGCTGAGCGTGGTGGTGCATGCCTGTAATCCCAGCTGCTAGGGAGGCTGAGACAGGAAAATTGCTTGAACCCGGGAGGCGTAGGTTGCAGTGAGCTGAGATTGTGCCATTGCACTCCAGCCTGGGCAACAGAATGAGACTTTTTCTCAAAAAACAAACAAAAAAACTGTATAATCCAATGTTTTTTTAGCATATTCACAGATCTGTGCCACTCTCATTCCAAGCAATTTTGGGCCATTTTCATTACTCCAGAAAGAAATCCCACACACCTTAGCTGACACCCCCAAACCTCCTATCCCCACCAGCCCCAGGCAACCATTAGTCTACCTTCTGTCTTTATAGATTTGCCTATTTGAATCATTTCATGTAAATGGAATCATCCAATATGTAGCCTTTTGTGACTGATTGCTTTTACTTAGGATAATGTTTTCAAGGTCTGTCTATGTTGTAACATGTATCAGTACTTTGTTTCTTTTTATTGCTAATTAATATTTCATTATATGGACATGCAACATTTTATTTATCCATTGATGAACATCTGCATTGTTTCTACTTTTTGGTGTTGTGAGTAATGCTACTGTGAACATTCATGTGAAAGTTTTTGTGTGGACATATGTTTTCATTTCACCAGGAGTGGAATTGCTGGGTCATATGGTAATTCTGTGTTTAACCCTTTGAGGAACTGCAGGACTATTTTCCAAAGTGGCTGCAACATTTTAATTTCCTGCTAGCAATGTATGATGGTCCTAATTTGCCCATATCCTTGTGAACATTTGTTATTTCTGTCTTTCTGATGATAGCCATCCTAGTAGATGTGAAGTGGTATCTCATTGTGGCTTTGATTTGCAGTTGCCTGATGGCTAAGGATGTTGAGCATCTTTTCATGTGTTTATTGGCCACTTGTATGTCTTCTCAGGAGAAATGTCCATTCACATCCTTTGTCTATTTTAAAATTGGGATATTTGTATTTTTATTATTGAATTGTAACGGTTCTTTATATATTCTAGATATAAGTTCCTTATATCGACATTTGGGGACACATTATTCTTTGTTGTGTGTGGGAGCTTCTGCCCACTAGGTGCCAGTATCACTCCCTCACCCCTGCCCAATTGTGACACTAAAAGTACCTCCAGATATTGTCAAATATCTCTTGGGGACAGGAGCAGAATCACCCTGGTTGAGAACCACTGATTTAGAGAAATCTAGTTCTATTTCTGTCCCCTGTAGCCTGTTCACTGCCTTCCCTCATGGCAAGCATTCATTCTTTTTTTCTTGGTTTATCTTCCCATTTTTTAGATATAAGTAAAGCTGTATGTCTTTGTAATCCACTGCCCTTCTTAGGGAAATGGTAGCATACTCTGCACAGTTTTGTCCTGCCTTGCATTTTTCGCTTAACACTATATGCTGGAGATCACCCCATGGAAGCACATAGAAGCATTCTCCACTCTTTTTTTATAGCTTGTAACTCAAACCATAATGAACCATAACTTACCAGCCAGATGGTACTTTTAACTCTTATGCTCAGAAGGCCTAATGCCAATGAAGGGTTCCTTATGAGCCTTTAATATAAACATATTTCCTGACTAATAGCTGAAATGGTTGTGCCAGGAAAACTATGGGTTTTCTTTTCTAAGATACACTTTGGGATAGGAAGCGATTTTACCAGTAGGTGCCACTGTTAGATAGTGTTGGCAAGGTTAATTCTTTGATGATTATTCTTTACTGGGGGTATGTGTATGTGCATTAAAAAATTTTTACACACGGCTGGGCGCAGTGGCTCACGCCTGTAATTAGCACTTTGGGAGGCCAAGGCAGGTAGATCGCAAGGTCAGGAGATCAAGATCATCCTGGCTAACACGGTGAAACCCCGTCTCTACTAAAAATACAAAGAAATTAGCCAGGCATGGTGGCACGCGCCTGTAGTCCCAGCTACTCGGAAGGCTGAGGCAGAAGAATGGCGTGAACCCGGGAGACGAGCTTCCAGTGAGCCGAGATTGCGCCACTGCACTCCAGCCTGGGCTACAGAGCGAGACTCCACCTCAAAAACAAAAAAGAAAAAAAAATTTTATACACAGGGTAAAGAAGTTAAGCCCTGCAGAAAAGGTACAGAACTGTCTCTCCTTTGCCACCACCTCACTTCAGTTCCCTTCCCCAGTGGCAAGTACTTTGATCCATTTCTTTCTTTCTTTTTTTCTTTTTAAAGAGATGGGCCGTCTCACTATGTTACCCAGGCTGGATATTCACAGGTTTGATCATAGCACACAACAGCCTCGAACTCCTGAGCTCAAGTTATTTTCCCACCTCAACTTCCCAAGTAACTGGAACTACAGGAGCTCAGCTGATGCATTTCTTTAGTTATTTCAGAGATTTGTGTGTGTGTGTTTGTGTGTGTGTGTACCCACTTAGCCACACACGTATAAATATGTATTCCCTTTAAAAAAAAATCTTGGCTGGGTGCAGTGTCTCATGCCTGTAATCCCTGCACTTTGGGAGGCTGAGGCGGGAGGACTGCTTGAGTCTTGGAGTTGGAGAGCAGCCTGGGAAACATAGTTACACCTTGCCTCTACAATAAATAAATAAAATTAGCTGTGCATGGTGGCATGCACCTATAGTCCTACCTACTCGGAAGACTGAGGTGGGAGGATCACTTGAGCTCGGGAGGTTGAGCTGCAGTGAGCTATGGTCGCGCCGCTACACTCCAGCCTGGGTGACTGAGCGAGACCCTGTCTCAAAACAAAACCAAACAAAACAACTTTGTAGCATGCTCCAGACACTGTTCCCACCTTGCTTTATCTACTGATCACTCCACATCAATGTGCAGGGATATCTTTGGTGTGCTTGCCCTGCTGTATGCTACATGGCTGCATCCTTATTTATTTAACCAGTCTCATATTTAGTTTGTGTCCATTATTTTGCTCTTTAAATTATGCTGCAAATTAGTATCCATGTACATATATCCTTGCACCCATGCGTGAACACATCTGCAGGGATAAATTCCTAGAAGGGGAGTTGCTAAGTCAGAGGATGTGTGCATTTTACATTTTGATGGCTCCTATACACATAAGTGAGATGAGAACAATAAAAGCTAATTGCTATTGAAC